CTGAAATTAGTAACACTTTAAAAGGTGAAATCTGTAATTTTGCAGCAATGTCAGGTTTTGTTGAGACGAGTCCTCTTATCCCTATCCGCTCTCGGCCTGTGTATAGCCCCCGGCCTGTGTATAGCCCCCGGCCTGTGTACTCGGCTTAAAATGGCCAAGGCTTCCTGACAAACCCTGAGAATTATTGTGGATTGTCCAACGTTCCGTGGGACAGGCGGTGGTCGCTCGGTGCGCGGACAATGCCCCGTGTTCAGAAAGGGAACAAGTGCAGCCTGTGTTGTCCTCTCCCTGGATCGGTGCAGCCAGTGGGAGGCTGGCAGAGCATTTCCCTGACACATTCTGTACAGATCTGACATACGCCGCGCTTCAACAGAACTGAGTAGGAGTCACTTATAAAGGAAGCTTTCTTCTCTGAAGCGCAGAAGCTGGCGGTGGCATTGTGCTTCCCCTGGCACCTACAATCTGCGGAGCGCCGTGCCTTTCATGTCTTAAGTGCTCTAGTTATAGGATTTCTTTGCCTTAATTCTTGCTGGTTCATACTAGGAGTGCGCTTATTACTGCTTTCTCAGCAACGCATCGAAGACCATCACACGGCACTTCAAGATACGTTCACACCTATGTAGTTTGCGTTGGATCCGTTTCTGCAGTGCGCTTTTGCATATGCATTTTTTTACGTGTTTCTGATGCGTTTTTCCTTTATTTTGTTTTTTTTTTGGGCCAACTTATTGCTGGGCAGATTAAAAACGCAAAATGCGGAGTTCATGTGCATCTCGCATTCTTTTTGAGGAGACATCTTGGGTGAACCAGAGGTTGTTGTTGATGTGTTTTTTTCTTTTGTTTGAAGACATTATTATTATACAGGATTTATATGGCGCCAACAGTTTGCTCAGCGCTTTACAATACAAAGGGAGACAATACAGCAACAATACAGTTCAATACAAAAGGGTTAGGACGCCTCTCATCCTGGGAGCTTACAATCCAGGAAGGAGGGGCTGGTGGTACAAAAGGTAGTAACTGTGGGGGATGGACTGGTAGGAGGAGTAGAAAATTCCGTTATTAGCTGAGGGCAGGATAGGCTTCCCTGAAGAGATAAGTTTTCAGAGATCGCCTAAAAGTGAGCAGAGTAGGCAATAGTCTGATAGATTTGGGTAGAGAGTTCCAGAGGATGGGCGAAGCTCTGGAGAAGAGCATGGGAGGAGGAGACAAGGGAGCTAGAGAGCAGGAGGTCGGTCGAGGAGCAAAGAGGACGGTTTGGGTGATATTTGGAGACAAGATTGGAGATGTAATTTGGGGCAGAGTCATAAATGTTTTTATATGTTATTGCATGTTTTGGGCTTTGTTCCTTCCCCCCCCCATTTCTGTTTACATCTGGTCGGGAAGGAATAAGACATAAAAAAGGAAAAAAGCAAGATATTGTCAAGAAAGTTATTATTATACAGGATTTATATAGCGCCAACAGTTTGCTCAGCACTTTACAATACAACGGGAGACAATACAGCAACAATACAGTTCAATACAAGAGGGTTAGGAGGGCCCTGATCCTGGGAGCTTACAATCTAAGTTTTGGATCCTTGTGGTCTCTGTTTTGTTTGATTACCATTTCGGTTAATTATTACGGGATCTGCGTATCCACGTTGTTCTATTTATGTGTAATCCTGCTGTTGCAGTAATGTCATTGTGGATTCTGTAAGTACTGTCCCATTTTCTGTATCATCTCGACAATAAAAGCTGTTTGGATAAAAAAAAAAAAAAAAAAAAAAAAAACACGCACACAAAAAGCAGCACTTGCATTTTATATGAGGTTCCATTGAAAGTCTATTGGACTAAAAACGCAAATTGTTGCGGGAAAAGAAGTCCTTGACCCTTTCCAAAAAACGCACCCACGAAAAAAAACACAGATGTGAACGTGATCCATAAGAAATCATGATAAATGGCATGCATTGTGTTCCTGCAAAACACAAAAAAAAAAAAAAAAAAAAAAAAAAAAAAAAAATCACAGATTTCAACCTGGCCTAAAAAGGTGCCTAATACAAAAGGTTTGGATCACTTGAAAAGTCATTTGAAAGGTTGATTATATGGTCTACTGAAGGTCCAATGGATAGCCAACCATTCACAGTTTCATTAGTCATAAAGGAGAAATTATTATTTATTTCAGGTACTTATACAGCGCCATCAATTTACGCAGCACTTTACATATACATTGTACATTCACATCAGTCCCTAACAATGCAATGATTTAAAAACATATCAAATGTTTAAACTGAGAAAAATCTTTTTTCCTTAAAATGGGACGTCATTTTGAAATTGATGGCAGAAACAAGTCTCCAAAAAAGAACTTAAAAAGGTTTAACCGCTTTCTGCCACCCTATAGTAGATATACTGCTATACGGCAGCAGGGGTGCGCAAAATCACATATGTATACACATGATTTTGCATTTGTGGGTAGGGGGCGTGTGCAAGGCCATTCGCAGCCTCGGCTGTCAATCACCGGGTCCCGGGCGGTGATTGCCGAGCATCTCCGACGGGGGAGAGGCCTGTATGTAAACAATACAGATCTCTCCCCTGTCAGCTCCTGCACACTGCTTTGCATGGCTCTGCATAGCAGAACCATACAAAGCAGAGTACTTACAGTGAAACACACATACAGCCCGCAATGTAAAACAGCACAGACCTCATCGCCCCACATGTTTGATCGCTCCTCATGTTAACCCCTTCCTGCCCAGTGTCATTAGTACAGTGTCAGTGCTTTTTATTAGCACTGATAACTGTATTGTTGTCACTGGGGATGTCAGTCACACCAAGTCAGTCCCCCCCCCCCCCCCCCAGTGTCAGAATGCCCACCGCAGTCCCGCTATAAGTCGTTGATCACTGCCATTACTAGTAAAGAAAAAAAAAATTCCAGTATATATACCGCCATTTGTAAACGCTATAACTTTCACATAAACCAATTAATTTACACGTATTGGGATTTTTTTTTTCCTTAGCAAAGACACGGAGCAGAATACATTTTCACCTAAAATTCGTTTTTTTTACATTTTTTAACTGGACATGTTTAATAGCAAAAAGTCCAAAATATTGGGGTTTAATTCTCAAAATCGTCGGTCTTTTCTTTTTTTAGCACAAAAAAAAACGCACAGGCAATCAAATACCACTGAAATAAAGCTCTATTCGTGGGAAAAAAAAAAAAAAAAAAAAAAAAATGTCATTTGAGTGCAGTGTTGCATGACTGCGCAATTGTCAGTTAAAGTAACTCAGTGCCATGACGCAAAAAATGGCCTGGTCAGGAAGGGGGAAATCCTCAGGAGGGGAAGGGGTTAATATCACTTTTAGAAACAAAGAAAAAAAACAAACTTTGGGGTGTGACGGGGTATGTGCAGACACAGGTATGTACAGATAGGTGCATTCAGGTGCAAATAATGAGTTGGGATGGAGCAGGAGGAGAGTGGAACACAGATGTCATACCTGGCGGTACAGGTTTTTTCAGGCACGGAGTGTGGCGTCACATAGGGCTAGCTCCAGGCTCTCCTCACTCCAGTAGTATCTCATATACAATCTGCAATAAAAGAACAGACAACACTCAGCACATTACACAGAAAGAGTCTAACAGCTAGCCCCCTCCATGGAATGTCCACGCAGCTTGCTTTGCACAATGTTGTAGTTGTAAACCTTAGACATGAAATATGAATAAAGCAAATCCCTTTTTAGTTTGTACTTGTCTCATTTCAGAGCACTAAGTGTCATTTCTATCTACTGCCTGGTTCCTCTGCTATTAGCACAAGTCACTTCTGACAAGTTTTCCTGACACCAGGAGAAAAAAGGTGACATGGGAGGGATCTGTTTTTGATTCTTGGGTGAAAGACGTATAAAATGTTTGGTGAAAAAACATTGATAAACAGACCCCAATATAATAAATAGCAGTCAGCTGTATACAGCTATGTATTTTGTATGCTGAAGAAATGGGAAAGAGGCTGAAAGATATTGGCCCTGATTCTTCAAGCTGCAAGGGGGGGCTTACGAACACTTATGGCATGGTAAAAATTACATGAGGTGCCACTATAGTGCTATAGCATGCCTTAAAGTGTTACTAAACCCCAGACCCCGCATCCACTATATCCGCTCTCCCCGGACCCCGCATCCACTATATCCGCTCTCCCCGGACCCCGCATCCACACTATATCCGCTCTCCCCGGACCCCGCATCCACTATATCCGCTCTCCCCGGACCCCGCATCCACTATATCCGCTCTCCCCGGACCCCGCATCCACTATATCCGCTCTCCCCGGACCCCGCATCCACTATATCCGCTCTCCCCGGACCCCGCATCCACTATATCCGCTCTCCCCGGACCCCGCATCCACTATATCCGCTCTCCCCGGACCCCGCATCCACTATATCCGCTCTCCCCGGACCCCGCATCCACTATATCCGCTCTCCCCGGACCCCGCATCCACTATATCCGCTCTCCCCCGGACCCCGCATCCACTATATCCGCTCTCCCCGGACCCCGCATCCACTATATCCGGTCTCCCCGGACCCCGCATCCACTATATCCGGTCTCCCCGGACCCCGCATCCACTATATCCGGTCTCCCCGGACCCCGCATCCACTATATCCGGTCTCCCCGGACCCCGCATCCACTATATCCGGTCTCCCCGGACCCCGCATCCACTATATCCGGTCTCCCCGGACCCCGCATCCACTATATCCGGTCTCCCCGGACCCCGCATCCACTATATCCGGTCTCCCCCGGACCCCGCATCCACTATATCCGGTCTCCCCGGACCCCGCATCCACTATATCCGGTCTCCCCGGACCCCGCATCCACTATATCCGGTCTCCCCGGACCCCGCATCCACTATATCCGGTCTCCCCGGACCCCGCATCCACTATATCCGGTCTCCCCGGACCCCGCATTCACTATATCCAGTCTCCCGCAGTACACGGAACAAGGAAATGCAATTATTTCAGTAAATATAAACTGCTAAAATACCTTTTCTCAT